GCAACGAGCAGACCAAGGTGGGGATCGGGGGAGTTTGATGGGGGGTTAGGGGAGATTTATAGGGGTTTTGGGGGAAGTTACAGGGGTTTGGAGGAACCAAGGTGGGCTTTAGGGGGAGTTATGGGGGTTTGGGGGGAGTTATTGGGGATTTGGGGGAATTATTGGGGTTTGGGGGAGATTTATGGGGGTTTTGGGGGGAGTTATTGGGGATTTGGGGGGAATTTGGGGTGTTAGGATCCTGCGCGAGGCCAGCCACAACGAGCCGACCAAGGTGGGGATCGGGGGGTTTAGGGGAGATTTTTCGGGGTTTGGGTGGAATTTGTGGGGGTTTTGGGAGGAACTTGTTGGGTTTTGGGAGGAACTTGTTGGGTTTTGGGTGGAATTTGTAGGGTTTTGGGGCAATTACGGGGCTTTTGGCGAGACTTGGGGGGAATTTGGGGTGTCAAACCCCTGCGCGAGGCCAGCCGCAAGGAGCAGACCACAGTGGAAGGGTTTGGGGGTCCCTGGGGAGGTTTGGGGGTCCCTGGGGAGGTTTGGGGCAGATTTTGGGGTTCTGGGGCGGGTTTGGGGGTGGTTTTGGGGCTGGGGGAGGCTGAGCCCCCCAAAACTCCTTCACTGTGTCCCCCCAGGTGTCGGTGGAGAACGGGGACGCCCCCAGCCCCGAGAAGAACGGGCCCCTGCCCTCGGGTGAGTGGGGCCGGAGCAGATCCCACGGGGAGGGACGGGGGACCCGGGGGTCCCTGCAGTGTCCCCATGTCCCCATGATGTCCCCATGTCCCCACGGTGTCCCCGCAGAGCTGGAGGTGCTGAGCGCACCCGGTGTCCCCATGGCCCTGTGGTGTCCCCACCATGTCCCCACCATGTCCCCATGTCCCTGTGGTTTCTGCTCAGTGTCCCCACGATGTCCCCACGATGTCCCCATGTCCCTGTGGTGTCTGCTCAGTGTCCCCACGATGTCCCCACGATGTCCCCATGTCCTCGTGGTGTCCCCACGATGTCCCCACGATGTCCCCATGTCCCTGCAGAGCTGGAGGCGCTGAGCGCGGCGCTGCCACGGCTGCAGGGCCCGGTGCTGGAGCTGGCCGAGGGATACTCTGTGTCCCCGTGGTGTCCCCTCAGTGTCCTCATGTCCCTGTGGTGTCCCTATGATGTCCCCACAATGTCCCCACAATGTCCCCACGATGTCCCCATGTCCCTGCAGAGCTGGAGGTGCTGAGCGCACCCTGTGTCCCCATGTCCCTGTGGTGTCCCCACGATGTCCCCACCATGTCCCCATGTCCCTGTGGTGTCTGCTCAGTGTCCCCACGATGTCCCCACGATGTCCCCATGTCCCCGCAGAGCTGGAGGCGCTGAGCGCGGCGCTGCCGCGGCTGCAGGGCCCGGTGCTGGAGCTGGCTGGGGTCACACGCTGTGTCCCTGTGGTGTCCCCACGATGTCCCCATGGTGTCCCCATGTCTCTGTGGTGTCCCCACGATGTCCCCATGGTGTCCCCATGTCCCCGTGGTGTCCCCTCAGTGTCCCCACGATGTCCCCACGGTGTCCCCGCAGAGCTGGAGGCGCTGAGCGCGGCGCTGCCGCGGCTGCAGGGCCCGGTGCTGGAGCTGGCCGGGGTCACACGCTGTGTCCCTGTGGTGTCCCCACGATGTCCCCACAATGTCCCCATGTCCCTGTGGTGTCCCCACGATGTCCCCACGATGTCCCCACGGTGTCCCCGCAGAGCTGGAGGCGCTGAGCGCGGCGCTGCCGCGGCTGCAGGGCCCGGTGCTGGAGCTGGCCGAGGCCACGCGGC